AATTTTTTTAAAAGATCTCCAGCCAAAATTCCACGATCTGCCTGCTTGGTTTTCCAGGCTCAGAAAATATCATTTACAAAGTGCCGGGGAACCAGTTGAAGCCACTGCCAAAGGTTCTAAATGAAAGCTCATTTCTCACACACACACTCACACACAAAGATGCATGTTGTTTGCCAACTACAGTATGCTTTCCCTTCCTTATGTAACCCAAGTTTCCTTGGGCCCCACAAGCCCGCAGGACCAATGAAATCACATTAAATGACCAGCAGTAACCCATAGTTCATCTGGGTTCTCCCACCTGTTCACAGAGGCCTTCAGCCTCCTAGGAAGTGCTCCTGAGTAGTGTAGGGGGTGTCCTTAGATGTGCCTCTGAATAAATCCTATCTCTGCAGTAGTGTCCACAGGGTCCCCCCAAAACTCTGAGGGGGGTCAGGGCACTTTGTGGGGTGGTGGAACTGAGAACCCTTCACCTCCCTGTGTGTCTCAATAAACACATCCCAAAACAGGCTGCTGTGCCCATCTTATCTTACATTTTTAGTGAAAGATTCCCCTGCTATCCAAAGAAAACAGCCACCCATCCGGGAGCTGGCCTAAGTGGTGGCACCAGACTCTTCTCAGGATTACCATCCCCTCCAGGAGGGATGGTCAGTCATCCTGCCTAATCAGCAAGAGGCTGCTCAGGCCTCATCCAAGTAGGCTTGTGGGGAGTCCCAGCCCACCCACTCAGACACAAACATGTCCGGCCCCACTAACACCTAAAGAGGGACACCTGATCCATCAGCAAGGGAGGCCATTAAAGAATTCAGCTGGTTTGGCTCAGGCACATGGACTGAAGGGTCCTGTGTTCGATTCCGGTCAAGGGCACATACCTAGGTTGCAGGCTCCATCCCCGGCCCTCATTGGGGCTCATGCAGGATACAACCAATCGATGTGTCTCACATAAATGTTTCTCTCTGTATCTCTCCCTCCCTTCCACTCTCTCTAAAAATCAATAGAAAAACATCAAGTGAGGATTCACCAATAAATAAATAAATAAAAGAATGCAGCGGGCCCGGCCAGCATGGCTCAGTGGTTGAGCATCAACCTATATAAACCAGGAGGTCACTATTCGATCCTGGTCAAGGCACATGTCTGGGTTATGGGCTTGATCTCGTGTGGGTTATGTAGGAGGCAGCCAATCAATGATTCATCATTGATGTTTCTCTCTCTCCCTTCCTCTCTGAAATAAAAAAATAATTTAAAAAACATTCTTTAAAAAAAGTCCCTGTGAGCCCTAGCCAGTTTGGCTCAGTGGGTAAAGCGTAGGCCTGTGGACTGAAGTGTCCCAGGTTCGATTCTGGTCAAGGGCACATGCCCGGGTTGTAGGCTTGATCCCCAGTAACGGGCATACAGGAGGCAGCCAATCAATGATTCTCTCTCATCATTGATGTTTCTATCTCTCCCTCTCCCTTCCTCTCTGAAATCAATAAAAATATATTTTAAAAATTTATTTAAGTCCGTGTGATATAAAAATCCAGCAGGGACAGCCGCACTCTTGCCTGCGGCAGGTGATCTGGGCCAGGCCCTGGGGAAAGGATTGCTCTTCTCCAAGAGAAGTCAACTGACATCAGATTATTTTCCTACAGCTTTTCCCACTTCTTAACATTTGCCACATTGTATTCCACATTCCAATTCTCAAAAGGACAGGAGCATTACTAATATATTTTTTTTAAAAGAAGTAAAATTAACTGGAGTCAAGAACTTTATTATTTCCAAATGTATAAAGCATGAGATTTATGGCTGAGCATCAAGTCTGGCCTTTACCTGAAATGTTCTCCTTGAGAGACCAGGGAAATCAGACCTGCAGAGATTGGGTGCTGTTGCAATATATCCAGTTAAGTTTGGTCAAACTTAATTTTTTCTCTTTTTAAAAAACTTGGCTTACTACAGTTTTATTTTTTTTAAGTTCTTAATTTAATAGAGAATAAATAATACCTCTGTCTCATTTACCTATTTCTCATTCACCATTTCTAATTTACCCATTCTTCAGTGACCTATGGACTTTCCAAAAGTTGTCTCATTAATATAAAAACCACCTTTATGGTGCTCATCACTTAGACAATACCAAGGGATTGAGGAGCTCTGTGCCAGAAACTGGACAAAGCCAAATACATATTTGTTATTAAGTCACAATACCATACTATACAAGGTACTTCTGCTTTTATTTTACTCAGATTTGGGTCTATAGGAGCACAGGGTATCACCTCCCATACAATGGTCCAAACAATAGACTTCAGTTGGTCAACCCATAAATATAGAGATAGATGATTACTGAAAATTGTAATGAACGTTCTCCCCATCAGGGAGACAGAGCCAGGGCTCACACACATTCTTGCATGAGGTTGTACAATGAACCCCATGAAGCTACGATATCCAAAGATGTTTCTCAAAGTGTGGGCCTCCACCATCCATATCCAGACCATCATTACTAAAAATGCAAATTACTGGGCTCCAACTCCACCCACTGAATCACAGCCTCTGCCATTGACCTGAGAATCTGCACTTTTTAATTGGCTCCTCGGGCCTGCATTTCCCCAGCCTTCTAGTAGCTGTGTCAGCCCAATTCCCCATATTAAATCCTTTTCCACCAAAATGCCAGCAAGTAAAGGAAACAAAGAAAAAAAAATAGGAAAAAAAAAAGCTATTTAGAATATAACTTAGGTCGGCAAGTATTTTATTAAGCTGCTACTATGGCAAAGTCATTGTGCTTAGGCACTGAGAAGTATGTATGTTGTTTAAGCAGAGTATGATCTGTGTACCTGAACTGCACAAGGTGAGAGTGGAAAAGCAAGAGTTGGCTAATCAACTGTGTGACAGGCTTATCCATTTAAACATTGATCCAAGTTTTGAAGCATCCTATTTGGGCACAAGCCAAATCATGACAGATCCTTTAATTTAAAAAATAATAACATTTAAAAAATCAGCCTTACCTTCTGACAGGGTGATTGTCAACATGCCCAGTGCTGCCCATACTTAGTTTCAGCATACTGAGCCAAAAACAACAACAACAACAACAACAACAAAATTTGAGAACCATCAACTTAAGAAGATCACACTTTGGGAAGATCGAGTTGATGAGACCAACGTTTCCGTAAGTCAGCTAGCTTCTCTCTGTTCCAGGCAATTCCAGTTGTGGTCCTTCATTCCTGTGTACGTCACAGGAAGAACCAGGTTTTACAAACAAACTCATACAAATCGACTCTGCTGAGAAAACAACTCAAAGCACCTAAGTTTCTAATATGTCAGTAAAGTCTATTCTGCATTCAGAGGCCAGAGTATTTTTCCACTTCACTTAAAGCATAAAAAAAAAAAAAGACTACATATATGAAGAAGTTTCAAAATTAATTTTCTTTCAAACAAGGAAATGCTTTAAACTTTAGTAACTACACATGGGTCCAAGTTTATAACCAAGAACATAAGATAGAAATCCTACAAAGATTTCTGACAGTTCCTAGGTTTCTACATAGCAGCAGTAAAAGTAAATTCAACAATCCGTTTACATTTTATTCCAAGGATAAATATAAAATTAAGAGAGAAAATTCAAGCCCTAACCGGTTTGGCTCAGTGGATAGAGCATCAGCCTGCAGACTCAAGGGTCACAGGTTCGGTTCAGGTCAAGGGCATGTAACTTGGTTGTGGGCACATCCCCAGTGGGGAATGTGCAGGAGGCAGCTGATCGATGTTTCTCTCTATCCCTCTCCCTTCCTCTTCGTAAAAAAAAATCAATAAAATATATATTTTTTTAAAAAAGAGATAAAATTCAAAGCAAATATGCTTAACATTTCAAAACACCTCTAAATACAAAGAGGGGTTAAAAAAAAACACCCCACAAGCCCCATAAATCAAACTAGCTAGACATTCAAATCTAACAGAAAGACACCGATTTAATGCAATTTTGCCTGCCCCAATGGGGGTATGGGGGGGAGACAAAGCTTCCTAATGAGTGCATCTCACATTGAACTTGCCATAGTGAAACCTCCATGACTGATGCCACACTGGCTTTTCCTAATGAGAAGGGCCATTGACAGAATCAATCTGTAGTGATTCAGATACATCTAGACCTTTGCATTCTGGATGTTGTATACAATCTAAAATTAATTGACAAGACTTTGGATTTCACAAATTAAGAATGTATTAGTTAAGCCTTAGCTGGTTTTTCTCAGTGGTTAGAGCATCAGCCCTCTGATGGAAGAGTCTTGGGTTTGATTCTGGTCAAGGGCCCGGACCTCAGTTGCAGGCTCAATCCCCAGTCCCAGATCAGGGCACCCGCCAGAGGCAACCAATAGATATGTATCTCTCACATTGATATTTCTCTCCCTCCCTCCCTTCCACTCTAAAAAACAATGGAAAACATATCCTCGAGTGAGGATTAACAAAATAAACAAAGAGAATGTATTAGTTAAGAAACAAGGGATCACCCTAACTGGTTTGGCTCAGTGGATAGAGCGTCGGCCTTCGGACTCAAGGGTCCCAGGTTTGATTCCGGTCAAGGGCATGTACCTTAGCTGCAGGCACATTCCCAGAAGGGGGCATTCCCAGAAGGGGGCGTGCAGGAGGCAGCTGATCGATGTTTCTCACTCATCGATGTTTCTAACTATCTATCCCTCTCCCTTCCTCTCTGTAAAAAATCAATAAAATATATTTTAAAAAATTGTTTTAAAAAAGAAACAAGGGATCATTGGCCCTTTAGCTATAACAAATCTAGAATTCTGAATGAGTATTTACTTATACATTTTGGAAAATTCTGGCAATTTTCATTTTAAGCCCTCAGCATATTTATCTCCATTGCAAAACATACAAACCTGAGTGACAGAGACAAAAATTAACCCCTAAAGATCCCCAGGATGTGCAATGTCTGTGAGTTCCATGATATACCTTATTTGGTGGTGCTGGAGTCTGAATTGTTGGATGCTTCTAAATCATTCGTTATATTGCAGAAAAAAACACATGAAAACATGCAATTGCTTTCATCCTAACAGGTGTAAAGTCTTTTTAATTTTATATAAACATATAGACAGGCAGACTGATAAATGAATGGAAAGAAAATAACTATAATCCTATCCATAGAGCATTTCTCCACTGTTTATAAGCTCCATTCTTGATTCCAGTTTTCAATTACACACCTACACATTTAAAAACCTCTTGAAACATAAAAAGAAAAATATGGCTACGTAACAGCATCCTCTATGAGAAAATTAGTGACCCCTGGAACTTGAGTCAATGAATCATGTTAATATGAAGTTCACAAATGTTTTTTCAGTCTTAAAATAATCTCTTGTATACATGCTAAGCAAAAAGATAAAAATGAATTTATCTCGTTACATATATATTTCCAGGGAATGAGTCTAGGTAAATGACCTATCACCTGGCATCTCCTCTGATATTACTATAAGATTAGTTTATAGCTCCGGGATGCTTGTTAAGTGAGGGAGAACTATTTACCTTTGGATTTATGAAACTCAATAAGAACTTCGTTCCTTCATCCAAAAAAATGAAAGAATTTGTTTTTCCCTAAATGCCACTCCAATGAAAAGTGGCCTCTTAACTCAGGGAAATTGTTTCTTGGCCTTTAATAAGCACGCAGTTTACTGACAGCCAATTGAGGAGGATTTAAAGACAATTACTCACTTAGAAGTAAAGCTGAATTTTATGTCAAAAATGTGTCCTGTGGAAAAAATGATCCCAGCTGGGTGGCAGCTCTACGTTTTGCTACAGAGCAACACAGAGTGAAAGAGACAAGAGACTGGGCTCAATTCTCTGGGCAGGCAAAACAGCACATCTATTCATTCAAACCACCCTGGTATACCGGTATTCTGCAAAACACAGCAAGTGCTGTGAGCACTAAAGACAGAGATTATGGCTTGCTGTTTATAATAGGATCCTATAAAAGGAATCTTTGTTCTATGATTAACAAATTGCCAGATCTACAGAAACTTTAAATTTGGAGTACAATTGACCCTTGAACAACATGGGGGGAAGGAGTGCTAATTCCCTCCACCCCAGTCAAAAAGCCACATGTAACTTCTGATTCCCAAAAAACGCAATAATTACTGTTGACCAGAAGTTTTACTAGTAACATAAAGTTGATTAACACAAACTTTGTATGTTTTATGTATTACATACTATCTTATAATAAAGGAATCTAGAGAAAAGAAAATGTTATGAAGATAATCATAAGGAAGAGAAAATACATTTATAGTCTATTAAAAAAAATCTGCAATTCAGCCCAAACCCGTGTTGTTCAAGAGTCAACTGGGCATGCTGTCTTGCTACTCACCCATTCTAAATATCCTTCGTTTGCAACTACCAATTAACTTAAAGTTACTGATCACTGTGTACCCTGGCAATTTGCTAGAAACAACACATTATTACAAAAAAAATTTTTAAGACTTGAGAAAGTACATGCATGCAGTATGACATCAGAAGAGTAGAGCCTTTCTAAAACACCTGTGAAGTTGGAGCGGAGACATGTCACTTTTGATTATATTAAATGCAATCATGTCTTCTTTCTAAAAGCAACAATAACGAATAAACTTTTAACATCAGAAATGTTTACTAACAATTCAAGTAAACATTGGCTACATTCTTAGTACAATACAATCTTTGACACAATTACAAACATGTATGCATTTCAAATATTAGCAAATTGCTTCAAAATGCAATTCTCAGAAAGTTTTAGTAATTTATTCACAGTTCAGGATTAGAATGACTGGACTTACAAGGCATGAGGAAGAAATGACCAAATGGCTCAGTTAACTAAACATTCATTTTAAAGAACAGAAACTAAACCAGCAAGGATGATTCTAAAATTTCCAGCTCATGAGCAATATAAACAAATACAAAAAGTTTTATTTAAACAAAAAAATTTCAATCACATAACATTTAAAAAGCTAACAGGATCATTTCTATATTCATTCTGAAAACTAGTATGGTAAGAAAGGTAATTCAAGAATTTCCTAAAATGTTTTCACTAGCCATTATTTATGGTATATTCCCTAACACTTATATCAGCCTATTATAGACCTACAAATTAATATGTTATAACTTTACCATCTTGCTATTTAGGATTTTATTTTAAGCCTGGATATTATTGGCTCAAATCTAATTATTATCAGTCCTATTGGTTACCATGTCACAGATCTGAAGATGTGGTTAAATTAATAAAGCCAAGGAAATACTGATATATTAACAATATTTAAATATTGTGGGAGAAAAATGATTTAAGGGTTATAACTTCCAAATTCGATTCTAACACTAAAAACTAAGCAGTCTGAAATATGCTTTTTTATTGTTTAAAGTTTTACATATAGTATTACATATGTCTCCTTTTTCCCCATTGACCTCCCCCCGGCCACCCCCACCATGAAATATGCTTCTATGGGTAAAACAGTCTATCTAATATCCTGGTATAGAAAAATCTACAAAATGTGTGGATATAAGACTACAATATCTTTCTTTACTGACCATTTCCTTCAATTTCTTTGGCCTTCACAAATTCAATGGGAACTATGAATTCTTTTGAAATAAACACTTTTCAATGACATTGTACTTTTTCAGAAAAATCACTTAGGTTGTATCATACCATAATTAACATTAGTGTTTCCCTTTTATTGTTATAGCATATTCTAATTTAAAAAATAAGAGAAAAAACTAACCCCAAAGGATTTCTTAAAATGTTTGTTAAAGCAAACTTTCAGCTGGTTTTCCTCCCTTTAAGAGTTAACAGAAGAATCAAAGGAACATCACCAAGGAACCAAGAAAAAGGCTCCTTTCCTTCCATCTGCATAATTAACTCAGGCCAAGGGACCTGTATGTGTTCAAAAGGATAAGACAATACCATCTCAGAAGCAATTTTCTAAAAAACTAAAGAAAGAAAATCTGTATTAGCTCCCTTGCCCAACAGCCCCTTCTGCACATTACCCTGTGTCAGTTCCCTTTTAGTAGTACTGATGCTTGTTTTTCACCTTTGCATTTAATGAGAGCTGTTCCTTAGTGAACCGCAGATACAAGGATCTACATATAGCCTGTGGTAACAGCTTACTCTACAAAATGCACTTCACCTCTTCTGAGCATGATATACCCCAAAACTTGGATCATGATTTAAGTGAAATCCACTTATAGCACTTAACATTAAGGGTACTCTCTTACCCTTTCAATGACCCCAGTCTTCACTTGTGATGAGCCTACCTGGAGACAAATGGGCTTTGCTTTTAAGATGCACCTTTCAGTTCCTAGCATAGTGACTTGCCCATAACAGGCTGTTGACATAGTTATAACAAACTAAAATCAGTTAATATTATTTCTCTCTTCTCATTTATTCCTATGGCATAAGTGATTAAAGAAAGATCAAAAAGCTGACTCTGAAGTAACTATCATTTCCTGGGCCCTGTGTTAAATGCTACACAACTCCAGGCCTGAAAAGGGCTTATGGCCTGGCTGGTGTTGCTCAGTGGTTGAGCATTACCAAGAGGTCCCAGGTTCGATTCCCAGTCAGGGCACATGCCCTTTCTATGATACACAAGCAGAATTCTATGCTTCTCTTGCAGAATTCTATGCTTCTCTTGCAGAAAATCTTCATCTCATCAAGAAGTTCAAAAACAGAGAAAGGAATAGACTGGGCTTACATAATTTGCTAAATATCTTACCTTCACAATTTTAAAGTGAAAACTTTTGAAAGAGGACTTAACCAAAACATAAATACCCTTTGCTATAAAATCCCCAAGATGTGGCCAAAAAAGCTCCGTGAAGAAATTACAACTTTTTCAGTATCAAACTCATAGTCTACTCTAAATATTTTAATCTAAATTGTTAAGTTCCATTTCTGGCACTAAGCAGCTAAACTCACCTCAACACCAATGTATTTACATCTTCTTCATTCCTAAATGAACTGAAGGGGCAGAACACAAAAAGTGCAGAGAGAACAATCCCCAGGCAATAATACAGGCACCTCTTTTTTGTGCTTCACTTTATTGTGCTCACAGATGTTATGTTTTTTACAAACTGAAGGCCAGACCCTCAACCAGCAAAAGGATTACGACTCGCCTACTGCAATCCTGGCTTTATTACGGTGGTCAGGAACCAAACCCGCCATATTCCCAAGGTTTGCTTGTACTGAATTTGACGCAATCCTTCATTAATTTCAGTGTAAAGCACATAGTTTTTTCTAAGCATAGCCCACCATATAGAGTCAAATGATTAGTCAATAGACTTGCAAATTTTCCAAACTATTGCAAAGAGCTTCCAGACTCGCAGGAAGGTACTAGTTTTACAGAAGGTAGTGAAGGGACTTTAAATTAATTGCAGGAAATTCTTTGGGACAAAGTTGAAGCAAATTCTGAATATATCAATACTGATTTAATTTGAGACATTTGATGACAACTCTGTGTGGTGACTTCAAAGAACAAGATAAAATATGTCATTCAGCTGTGATTAAAAAACTACAGATACAAGAAAATAAAAACCATTTTTTAAGAGATGAAAAAACAGAGTCGGAAATCCAATAAATATATATTCCATCTTCAAATTTAAAATTATATTGTTAGCTGTCCAAAGCAGCTCAAATTTAGTTTGTGCTATGAAATTATACAAATATTTTCTGTTAAGGGCTGGAGAAAACCAATGCACTACGATACTATTTAGCTTCCTAAACTACCCTGACCTATAGATAACAAACAATAAATGTGAGAGACTAAGATCAACTTAACTTAGGTAGAAATCCCACCAAGAAAAGTTTTTTCTTTTTAAGTACACTAACAAATTTCAAAATAAATCATAGCATCTTGTCTTTATATATAACTTAGCAAAACCGTAATCAAATGTCCAAATACATTGCCACTGGCTTTAGATCTTCTAATAAATGCACTACTCTTTCATTGGTCTGAATGAATAAAAGCATGGTAAAACAAATGCCAATTACTTTTAAAATACACAATCCTCTCAGATTGAAGCAGAGTCCAGAAATCCAACACCCAGCATCTTTTAAAGAAAATGAAAGCTAGCCCTGGCCAGTTTGGCTCAGTGATTAGAATGTCAGCCCAAGGACCAAAGGGTCAGAGGTTTGACTCCCGGTTAAGGGCACGTACCTGGGTTACCAGCTTCTTTTAAAGAAAATGAAAGCTAGCCCTGGCCAGTTTGGCTCAGTGATTAGAATGTCAGCCCAAGGACCAAAGGGTCAGAGGTTTGACTCCCAGTTAAGGGCACGTACCTGGGTTACAGGTTTGATCCCCACCCTGGTCGGGACATGTATGGGAAACAACCCATCAATGTGTGTCTGTCTCACATTGATGTTTTTTTTTCTCTCTCTCTTCCATCCTCTCTCCTTCTCCCTCCTTCTCTCCCTCCTTCTAAAAATCAATGGATAAAAGATCCTCAGGTGATGATTAAAAAAAAGAAAATGAAAGCTAACTGTTTCTGATAATGATTCCATTTTTCAAACTTCCCCACAAATTACTGGAAAAATATGAGGTAATTTCACAAAAAGCACAAATTTAGTGGAATTATAACTGATATATAAATAAGGATTTACCAAAAAAAAAAAAAAAAAAAAGCTTAAAGGAGTGATATTTTAAATCAAGATTTTAAATACAAAAGGTGTCTTGTGTTGCTTAATTGCCCAGAGTTTCAGATGCTCCTCATTCTACTGTTACCGATTTGGCAAGATTCCGGGGGAAATCAACCTGCCAAAAAAAAAAAGGGGGGGTGGGGGACAAGATTAAAGAGATTATACAGATTGGGGGGGTGGTTGTGTTCTATAAGCAAGTTATTTTTGTAAAAACAGAGAACTTATTCATTAACCATCTTTACTATAGACTACAAAGAATCAGATTAGAAAATATAGTCACATAATGTCTCTTTAAAAGTCTTGAAATCAGTTAGGAAAAAGAATCCTAAAGAAGCCAGTTCTGCACAGGAAGAGTCCAGTGATGGCCTCCAGAGGTGGCAGGCCTCCGAGGGGACAGCAAAAGTGTAAGGGCAGGATGTTTTGGTTGTCACAATGACTGGGGGACAAAGAATTGTAAAAGTCCTGAAACCTGTGAGATAGTCCTAAACAAATAATTAGGAAACAGAATAAAAACAGGCAGAGATTCCCTAAGAGGGTAATCTCTAATGTGGCTATAATCTCCAAGATTCCTTTTAAGTTCTATGTTAAGAAAATGTTATGATGTAACCTATAAATTGGGCCAAGTAAATGTAACAGGTGATAGATAGATATTATATATATAGTAGAGGCCCGGTGCACGGATTCATGCACATAGAAAGGAAATTAATTAGAAGGTGGCTGGCAGGAGCAGGACTGGGTGAGACGGGCTGGACACACCCTGGAGCCAACCTCCTGCAGTCCCTCCCTGGCTGGCGCACCTGGGGCAGCACCGGGGCTCAAAGGGCATCTGCGGAGTGAGCGGGGTCCCTCTGGCAGGTGGGGCTCCTCGGCCTGGCCTGTGGGGATCGGGCCAAGACTGGCAGTCCAATATCCCCCGAGGGGTCCCAGAGTGTGAGAGGGCACTCTGCAAAGTTGCTGTCGCTCAGCAGCTCCTGCATTGAGCATCTGCCCCCTGGTGGTCAGTTTGTGTCATAGCTACCGGCCAGCCAGTCAGTCGGCTGGTCACTTAGCCTTTTATATATATAGATGTTATATCTATACTAATAAAAGGGTAATATGCTAATTAGACCAGACGTCTTCCAGATGTCCTCCCACAAAGCGGGAGCGGCTCAGTAGCTGTGAGGGCTGGGGCTCAGGCAGCTGTGAGCTGCAGCGGCTGGCAGTGACAGCAGCAGCAGGGTGATGGGGGTGGCACCTTCCCCCAATTGGCCCAGTTGCCTCCCGCCCAGCGGGGAGCGGGAGTAGGACATCCCCTGAGGACTCCCGGACTGTGAGAGGGGGCAGGCCAGGTTGAGGGAACACCCCTCCCCCCACCCAGTGCATAAATTTTTGTGCACTGGGCCCCTAGTTATATATTTTGTGTGTGTGTGTATATATATATATATAATGGATTTGTCAAATGCTATTGCTAAATATTTAGAAGGAAAACTATTAGAATGTACTCAGGTAAAAAGCCAGCCCCAGATTTCTACAGTGCTCCATCACTTACATCATAGCCTCTCAGCACAGCAAGGTGGAAAGCCAGCAACTGTAAGGGGATCACACTGAGAATGCCTTGCAAGCAGTCCACTGAGTGGGGAACCTTGATTGTTCTTTTAGTGTTGTTAATGGTCTCGGTATCTTCCTTATCACAAATCACCACTGGGCGTCCCTGGGAAAGAAAGCCACATACACAATCACAAGTAAACAAAGAAAGAGCTGTAGCAAGTGAATGTGCAAATTTTACATTCAATAATTCACATGTGGCCTCACTAACACAGACTTATTTAAACTCACAATCCTATATGAGTCAGATTGATCTCATAGTCAAGGAAATTAAAGCTTTGTAGGAGTTAGTAATTTATTTAAGCTCACACAACTAAGAAACACCAAGCTCAATACAGATGCTTCTCTACTTATAAACCCATCATAAGTTGAAAATATAAGCCAAAAATGTATTTAATACACCTAACCTACCAAACATCCTAAACTAAAAGGGAGCAGCATAAGCTAATTAAAGAGGACAGGATTTGGAGAGCCAGACTTTGGTTTTGGTCTTAATTCTGCCTATTGTGAGATCTATGAGCTGGGTCCTGTCAAAACTCTGAGAATCTAATTCCTCACATGTAAACCTCAACATGTTTTGTAAGCTATCTATTGGGCCCTGGTCTATCACTTTAAATGTCATGAAATTCAATTAAGCTTTAATGGCCCAATTCTTAGATTCCCCAAGGTGTCCTCACAGCAGCCCCTGACTTACCTGCCTAGCAACCACCTGCTGAAGAGCATTCTGACACTTGGCATAAGTATGATCTCTCATAATGATCATGATGACAGGCATTAACTTATCCACCAAAGCCAGAGGACCATGCTTCAATTCACCAGCGAGGATGCCTTCAGAGTGCATGTAAGTGATTTCTTTGATTTTCTAATAGAAAAGAACTAGATTAGTCTTCAGTCTCTTTTTCAAAAACCCATTCTTAATTAAGTATTACACAAATATTAGATATCTGAAGTCGCTATTTATCCAAAAGTATTAAAGGACCACCGATCTATAAATATAGCCAACAGGCTAACAGATCATTATTTCTCTAATATCTACAGTGACTAGAAGTTTTAAGACCTACAAGGACTTTTTCAAGATTTAATTTAATTTAAATTTTTTTGTTAATCCTCACCTGAGTATATTTTTTCCATTGCTTTTCAGAGAGAGTGGAAGGGGGTGGGGGAAGAGAGAGAGAAACATCGATGTGAGAGAGACACACATCGACTGACTGCCTCCCACACATGCCTCAACCAGGGGTGGGAAGCAAATCCCCAACCCAGTATGTTCCCTTGACAAAGAATCGAACCCAAGACCCTTAGGTGTGTGGGCTGACATTCTAACCAGGGCTTTTTCAACATTTTAGATTCTCATGAACATACTCATGTAACTGTTCTACTTGGTTAATGTTTGGCCTGAATTAAATCCCACACTTAGAGAACTTAATCTTTATTTCAGTCATATCTGGACAATTAATTAACCAAAGCTACTTGCTAAACCCAAGCTATCATGCTAAAATGTACTCTTCTTTATTTTCACTTTTTCATTAAGTACAAATTGTTACACCTTCTCAGGGCAAACAAACCAGAATGCATAAAAACAAAAGCACTTGTAAAAGTTTCACCTACTTCATTCAAACTAAAAGTATGACTATGTACCAGGTCCATAAGTGAACAGACTGAAATTTTAAGTGAGAAGACTTACTAGTGCCCCTTCAAGACAAGTAGCATAATGATAGCCACGCCCCATTATCAAGACCGACTTCTGATGATAAAGTTCTGTTGCCAGTTTCTGAATTTCATCATCTATACTCAGTACTTCTTTAATCAAATCTGTTAAGAAGTAACATTATAAACTGTTGAACAAAAATAGACAGAGGCTAAGAAGCATTGAACAGACTGTCAAACTACAGCGGGAAGGTAGGGGAGGGTTGGGGGGTAGGAGATCAACCGAGGGACTTGCATGCACGCATATAAGCACAACCAACAGATGCAAGACACTGCGGGGGCAAGGGGGTGGTGAAGGCAAGTGCCAGGGGGTAGGGGAGGCCCGGGGGAGGTCAATGGGGGGGAAAAAAGGAGACATATGTACTACTATTTGTAATACCTTAAACAATAAAATAAAATAAAAATAAAAAAAGAAGTAACATTAGCAACATCTATGAAAAAGGATAATTAACCAAACCAATATAAAACCAATAATATACTAGTAGCAACTGACAAAAGACCAGTGTTTCTATTCCCTTGTGATATCAGAGAGGAATTTTTAAATACAAAGGTGCAAAAGTAGAAAGATTTATTGACTAAACAGCTAGAAGCCACAGCTTCAAGTACAAGAAGAAAATGACACCCATTACTGGCTCCCTTAGACAACAAAAGTGTAGTATAAGAGCATCTTCGTACCAGGCAGCCGCTTCAGTCCAAGCATGATCTCTTTGCGTCTCTCTTGCATGGAAATCCTGTCATCACACATCATAAGGGCAAACATCACAAGGGATACAAACTGGCTGGTGTAAGCCTAAAATACCACAAAAAAGCAGTTGTATTTTAAGAACTTAGAATTTTTCATTTAAAAAATATGCAAACACATTCCCACTGGTTTTATAAGCATATATTGTCCATTTTCTTTTTTTTAAATCTTCACTCAAGGACATGCTACTGATTTTATGGAGAGAAGGAGTAAGAAAGAGGGGGAGGGGAGAAGAATAAAGAGGAAGGGGGAGGGAGAAAAACATGGATGTGAAAGAGAAACATCGATTGGTTGCTGGCAAGGATGTGGAGAAAAAGGAATCCTAGTACACTGTTGGTGGGAATGCAGACCGGTACAACCACTATGGAAAACAGTGTGGAGTTTCCTCAAAAAATTAAAAATGGAACTGCCATTTGATCCATAGGAATAATTACATTAATAACATGCTATTAATAACTTTTGTGAATACTGCCTTCTAATCTCTACTATGTTTTTCCTTTTTATTGTTTAGAAAATTAATTCTTAGTAGGTATAATTTTATAACTTGCTTTTATTTTTGACATAATAAATACTTTCCCAAGACAGAATGCTTTCTTTCTTACTTACTAGTGTGTAATTATCTTAAGGAACTTTTTCCATCTCTTTAGGCCTCAGATGGCCCATCTGTTAAAAGTGCACAATACTTAGAAGATAATCATGAGAATAAATGAGACAAGTATAAATCAATCAACATAATGTCTGACATATAGGCTAAAAACAAACTTTTTATTGATGAAAGCTTGAGCTAAGACTTTAATTCAAAAACATTTTTTTCTTAACTACAGACTTGTGAATATTTTAAAACTTGCATTCATGCTGCCGGGACTATTTTTATTCCCATTAGCTGTATATAAATGTAAGATATGACTGTTTTTTCACATTCTTTACAATACTGAGAATTATCCTTTTAACAATTTTCTACCATTGACTGATAGACAATGGACTCTTTCTACTCCTTTACCATATACATCTTGAATCTAAAAAAATTAAGATTTTTATTCATGCTTGTTAGCCATTTATGTTTCTTCTTTTAAGGATTAACTTCATTGTTCTTCACTTATTTTCAACTTTGGCCTTTTTTTCCTTTTAAGTGGGTCGTGCCCTAGCCAGTTTGGCTCAATGGATAGAGCGTCAGCCTGTGGACTAAAGGGTCCTGGGTTCAATTATGGTCAAGGGCACATGCCCAGGTTTCGAGCTCGATCCCCAGAAGGGGGCAGCCAATCATCGATTCTCTCTTGTCACTGATGTTTCTATCCCTCTCTCCCTCTCCCTTCCTCTCTGAAATCAATAAAAATATATTCTTTTAAAAAAGTTGGCTATAAGGTCTTTACTGTTATGTATCAAATACTTTTTCGCAGTTTGGTTTAACCTTTTATAATGGTGTTTACTGACACAGAAGTTTCATTTTTTTAAAACTCTTATGTAGTACTTTTAAATTTAAAGTCCTTTCATTCTAACATCAGTTAAGTATTATTATATTTTCTTAATTCTATTGTTATCATTGTCCCATATTATTTGGCTTTTTTTTTTTTTTTTACTTTCAACATTTCATTTATTTGGCTTTTTTAAAGTATATTTTTATTGATTTCAGAAAGAAAGGGAGAGGGAGAGATAGAAATATCAATGATGAGAATCACTGATTGACTGCCTCCTGCATGCCCCCTACTGGGGATCCGGGCATGTACCCCTGACTGGAATCAAACCTGGGACCCTTCAGTCCACAGGCAGTCTATCTACTGAGCCAAACTAGCCAGAGCCCATTTTATTTGACTTTTTCACTTCATTTTTAAACCACCTGAAATTAATTTTAGTACAAAGTGTTAACTTATGTTTTTCTATTTTTATAAATAACCAATTTTCCCTTCATTTCAATTTCACCCCACCCTTTCTCTACTAGTTTGAGATATTCATTTAATGTACTGGAGTTATGTTGCAGGACTATTGATTCCGTCTCACATATCTGTCATTTTTTACAAAATAATCTTCCCATCCAGAAATATGGCATTCCATCAATTTGTGTTAGGAATTTAAAAGTCTATAAAGTTATACAGTTACCATCTATATTCAACAAATATTTATGGAGCACCTTACACATTTCTTGGTAAAATTATTTAAAGTGTTTTTTATAGCCATTGAAAATAGAATCCCCCTCCAAACACACACATTTATATCATTTTTAAGTAGTCACTACTTTAAAAAGTTTATAAAGAAAGTATTTTTGTATATGTCTTATATAAAGCACTGAGAAATATTTTACTTGATATTCTTGAGCTCTATACAGGCAGTCAATCATATCAATTGCAACTAAGGAGAATTTTATTTCTCCTTTCCCATTGTTTTACTTATTTTTTCCTATTAAACTGGATAGAACTCCTAGAACTGGGATAGCAAATATGTTTCACAGAGAGCCAATCCTAACTCATTGTACTCACAGTGAAACATCATGTTGAAAAAGATTCTAGTCTAAGGCCACCTTTTTTACTTCCCAGTAATACAGATAAAATCCTAGGAAGATTCCAGAAGAACAGCAAGGGCCCTCTAAGGTGAAGGTCCTGAAGCTTTTCGTTTTGCAGTTCCTTCATTCACTTTTCTCTATTACTTAACTCCATTGCTTTATTGAGTTTCCTTTTTCTAACTTCTTTAGTTAAATACTTAATTCATTTTTTAAAGATAAGCATTTAATGCTATGAATTTACCTCTAATTATAAATTTGGCCACACTCTCTAAACTTTTACTCACAATGTTCATTATCATTATTTCTTCTAAGCCTTTTAAAATAGTAGTTCTGATATCATTTTAACTCAACAGTTATTTAGAGGAATGTTTTAATGTTTCAGGTATTTGAGGTTTTTACCGACACATTTATTATTAAATCACTAGGATTACTGTGGTGTGATCAGCTATAATGTTATCCATAACTTTAACTTTAGAAAATTTATGTTAAGTGTTTTTTTGTATGTGGATTATATGCTGACTTTCTGTTACTCTTCTCTGGATAAGGAATCACTTCATTAGTGAATATTTTCCTGTCAGAATGTGGATATTGAGCTTCCAATATAACAAAATCAGTCTACCAATGCTCCTTACCTTCCCAATAGTTCAATGAAATTCCTTACTTCCTCTTAGTAGACCTCCCAGCTATCAGCTGCTCAGATATTCCTCCACAGACAGCTACCTGTCCCTGTGCTGCTATGAATTCTACTGATACACTGGGATTTTTTTTTCTCTATAGCACTAAAGTGGATTTGCAGTTCTTTGCCTCCAGCACATCTATATTCTAAATTTCAGTTCCTTCCAGTCTACCTCTTCCTACTGAAGTTTACTTTACAATAAGCCAATTAATCACAAATTATATTATCAGGACAGAGGGAGAGACCCAGTATCCTGGATGCCTGGGATACCTAATTGTTTCTAATCCAAACTGATCAGATAATGAGTATTTCAGTTTCTCTATACCATAACTAAAAATGTTATTCTCTAGAGTAATGTTTCTTTGTTTGGACCTGAAACATCTAAACACTGGTTTTCAAGTACAAATATTAAACAGAATAATCTTAATGCACCTATTTTTCCATTGAATTCCTATCACAGCTTAATTTCAGTTTCATGTTTTTCATTTCCTCAATAACTACCAGGAAACCAATTATGAGAAAAATAAGTTATACCTCACATTTTGAATTTATTGAGGTTTGAAAGAATTTACCAGAAAAATGTTGACTCTGAACTTTTAAACTTGGTTTTACTTTTTACTCAGCCAAAAATAAAATTATATTGGTTTATTTTTTTAAATCAACAAAAGTCAGTATGGTGGTGAAATTCTAAACACCTACAATAACATACAAAATCACTGAACCTGTACATTTATACCCATCAATTCCTACAGATATATCAAATTATCTATGGTATGATACTATGAGAAAGTTAGTAATATCTTTCTAACCCTAACAGTTTCTCAGGCAAAGCTGGGAATTCATAATCAAGATTACAGTATTCTTGTGCTAGCTCCATCACAAGGCCCCCAATGATGAGCTTCTTTGATCATCCATTAACATATTTGCCATTCAGAAATGGTCTATGACTAAACTTTTCAAGATTGTCTAAGGCTATTAAAGAACACAAAATTACTTTAGAATCCAAGAAAAATTAAATGAGACTAAATTACCATACTTATTAATATTTTTAAAGGAGTTATTTTATTAAAGAAATTAAAGTATGTACTATAAAAAGATACTTATTTTCTTATGTAAGATGTAACCACTAGGGGAAACTGTGTGAAGAGTACATGGACTTCTCTGTACTATCTTTACAACTTCCTATAAAGCTAGTGATTTCAATATAAAAAGTTTTTTTTAAAAAAAGGACTTACAGCCGAAACCGGTTTGGCTCAATGGATAGAGCGTTGGCCTGCGGACTGGGGGGTCCCAGGTTCGATTCCGGTCAAGGGCATGTACCTGGGTTGCAGGCACATCCCCAGTGGGAGATGTGCAGGAGGCAGCTGATCGATGTTTCTCTCTCATCGATGTTTCTAGCTCTCTGTCTCTCTCCCTTCCTCTCTGTAAAAAATCAATAAAATATATTAAAAAAATAAAAATAAAAAAATAAAAAATAAAAAAGGACTTACAAAAAAAGAACCACTGATATAAATAACATGAATAAATCTCAAAAACCTCATGTTAAATGAAAGAAGCCAGCTATAAATGACATGTATTATATAATTCCCTTTTTAAGAACCTTCTAGAAATGATATAAAAGAATACAATAGTAGTTGTCTGAGGTTAAGGGGTAGAAATGAGGACTGACTATACCGGGCACAAAGAAACTTTTTCAAGTGAGTAAGTATTCTAAAATTGGACTGTGATGATAGTTACAGATCCAAATTTACTAAAACTATACATTTAATAACTGGTGAGTGTTATTTATAATATGAAAATTATATTTCAATAAAGCTATAGAAAAAAGGTTAAAAGTAAAATCTAGGTAATGGTATATGAATTGTTAATGTAAAATTTTTTTAACTCTGCTGTATGTTTGAAAATTATTGTAACAAAATGTTGAGCAAAATTAAAGTTTTCATAAGCTATACAATTAGAAATTTTAAAAAAGTTGTATTTCCCATGGCAACTTACAGTTTAAGAAAGATTATAATAAAAAGTAAGTCAACAAAATAGCATCCATTCAATCGATGGATGTACGTATACCACATGAACCCCTTGTTTCACAATGCATTGTGAATAAAAGGGCCCTGGGATTCCAATCCCCAATCAAAGCTATCCAGAAATCCACAAGCTCCTGTTTAGAGCAGTTGGTTATTTATTCAGGCACAAACTGGAAACCCAAGCACAAATATCTTACATGTTTTAATTATCACACAGAGAAAATTCAGGTTTCAGCTTTCTATAAAGTATAGTGTTGGCAGTATCCAAGTAACCAACAAACACTCATCAGAGTTTTTACATAAGAAGAATGAATTTTCCACAAAAATATTCTCCATGAGGTTCTTTAAAAGAAAAAAATATTTAAATGTGGTTATGTATGTTAATATCATCTTTCACACGCCTTTCATTAGAATCAAATCCACCAATACCTAGCCATCTTACCAGACAATCAGCAAGAAATACTGAACTTAAGCAGAAAATTAGACAACTGAAATTTTGTAATCATAAAAGTAATACATTTGTGGAGAGAGAACATCTTTGCATATATAAACTTTCTAAGATTCCTATTTTTATTAACATATTATGCACATCCCAATTTCAAAGAGCAAAGTAGTCTCACTAGGCCTTAAAAAAATGAGGGTGCTTTTAAATCTCCACGAATGTAGTATCTAAAGAAAAACAGACATTTATATAATACTCACTTTTATTTCTTTAATTTCCAAATTCTATACTAAAGGTGTACTCTTCTTTACAAGCTTTCAAAGATAGTATGTATATTTTGGCATATTTATTAGAAACTATAAATATGTAAATAAAATTTCAAAAATTATTAGAATTAAACTGAATGTTTCTAATCTGTTATTTTTCTAATTCCCTACTATATATAATAAAAGAAGGGAACATTATACTTACCTATGTACCTGGCAGGAGGATATAAGTGATGAATGGGGATAGTAGCAGAGACCTTTTCAAAACGGACTTATGTTATATACATTTGTCCTTTCAAATTCTTAATATGGAAGTGATGAAGGGGACAAGTGTTTTATCTATTGTTGACCCTTAAGTCTTACAATAATTAGTAAACTCTGAGTTCTATAAGTGCTAACAAGTTAAATACAAGATATGGATTAGTCTATTTCACCAACACTATGATTAAATAATTACATAAGAACTAAGTCAAGAATTTACCTTTGTGCTGGCCACGCCAATCTCGGGCCCAGCATTAATGTGAACTCCACAGTCTGTCTCCCTTGATATGGAACTGCCGACAGTGTTGGTGATCCCCACAGTTAAAGCTCCTCTCTCCTTGCAGTACCGAAGACCCATCAGGGTATCTGCTGTCTCACCTGTGTATAAAGGAAGACAAAAGTAACACATACAGCAGTTAATAAATGCTTTTTTAGATGTAAAAACAAAAAACTGACTACACTTTCAACAAAAAATCATTCGTTTTAAATAAAATTTAAAATATGCACTTAAAATAATAAATTAGCAAAACTTTAACAGGATCCTACTTTTTAGGATCTCCTTTCCTTCTTTGTCTTTGGAAATTCAGCTCTCTGAGTGTAAAACGTGTTTATTTTACTAATTCATTAAGAATCACATATCAAAATAAATCTCTATTTGCCATTTGCAATATCATTTTATCTTTAAATATCAATTTTTGCCAAGATAATTCTTAGAAAGAATGACTTTCCTTTTCGCCAAGTCTTTAAAATTAGCATACCTGACTGACTAATAAAAAAGCAAACATCATCTCGAAAAACTGGCGTGTTTCTATCCAGGAAATCACTGGCTAGCTCCACCATAACCGGCAACTCAGTCAGCTCTTCAAGAACTTGACGTGTCTGTAAAGAAAAAATTATTTGGTCAAACAACTTTACTTCAAATACTCTTTTTCACTGGCCTTCTTTGGCCTCAATGTATAGTTTTCACTTTTCTGATTATAAAAATGAAACATGTGCATTGTTAGAAAATATAAACAATACAGATTAAAGCACAAAAAAAAAATAATCAAAATTTCACCATGCAGGGAAAAGCACATGTATAAAATGTTTTGAGAAGCAGCAAAAGCACTGTTCTGAATTAGCTTGTATGTTATCTCTAACTTCCCAATTCTAATCTTTAAATGATGATTCATAAAATGCCAAGTCAGAGAAATTCCAAATAAGATAAACACCCAGTGAAAAATTAAACACTTCAAAAATACTACATATTCATAAGTAGTACCATTCCAAAAAAAAAGTCAATACACTTCAGAAATCTAGTTTGAAAAAAAGCTCACTACTTTCAAATTTTGTAGTATGGAAAGTAAAGTAGGAGGTAGTATGCTTTTGCTCAAAGAGCACCTTAAAATTCATTTTAATTAAATTCCTTTTACTCTAAACATCAAAAAGTTAAAAACAATAGAAAAGTAAAATTTTAGGCCCTTCAGTCGCATACATTTAGTTGCCTTAATAATAACTATGTAGATCACCTACTTATTTAGGTAAGTGGCCCTACCCATCTTTTGTCCCATCTCTGCATTCCTCCTCCTTCACAGAAGTGAAAAACTGTAAAGGTTTCCTTACTTCATATCCCTTTAACTTTCTTGCCACAAATGTGAACTAAATCATTTTGTTCTATAACTTTGGTTGGCCACTTTTTAAAAATGTTATAACATCATGTACAGAAAGTCTTCGAGGATAAAATGTTCCTATTTTTAACTAACTTTTTTCCATTGATGTATTAAATTTACTAATCCTATATAATAAAAGGGTAATATGCAAATCGACCAAACAACGGAAGGACCAGTCGCTATAATGTGCACTGACCACCAGGGGGCAGACGCTCAATGCAGGAGCTGCCCCCTAGTGGTCATTAAGCTTCCACAGGGGGAGCGCCTTTCAGCCAGAAGCGTGGTGAGCGCAGCAGCGGTGGCAGGAGCCTCTCCTGCCTCTGCAGCAGCGCTAAGGATGTCCTATTGACACCCTTTAGCCCGCTCCTCAGGGGGAGCGGGCCTAAGCCGTCAGTCGGACACCCCCCAAGGGCTCCCAGACTGCAAGAGGGTGCAGGCCGGGCTGAGGGACACCCCCCACCAAGTGCACAAATCTTGTGCATTGGGCCTCTAGTTTTACATAAATGTCTGACACTAAAATGCTAAATATTTTCCCTCAAACATAAATCAAACTTTCCTGCTCCAGTTTACAATGTAAATGTTATACTGAAATTATACTCTTCAAAATTAAAAGAGAAAGATACAAATCTGGCAACTTACCAAATATTTAAAAACTAGAGGCCTAGTGCACGGATTCGTGGACTGGTGGGTCCCTCATACCTGTGCACAATCGATCGAGGCTGGGGAGGGACTGCGGGAGGGCTTCAGGGTATGTCTGGCCCATCTCGCCCAGTCCTGATCGACCAGACCCCAGAAGCAAGCTAACCTACCGGTCAGAGCATCTGCCCCCGGTGGTCAGTGTGCATCATAGCTACCAGTAAAATGGTCGTTTAGGTTTTTATATATAGACTAGAGGCCCAATGCACGGATTCGTGCACTGGTGGGGGGCATGGCCTGCAGGAGCAGCCATTCATCCCAGTCAGCCAAGCGGCACTCCCACTGTGGGAGCACACTGACCACCAGGGGGCAGCTCCTGCATTGAGCGTCTGCCCCCTGGTGGTCAGTGCGCGTCATAGGGACTAGTCGACCGGTCGTTCTGCTGTTCGGTCGCTGGGCTTTTATATATATAGATAATACACCTCAGAAAGTAATCTGAAGGTATATTTGTGCTAATAGTTTGTTCTTTCAATAGAAGCAATTCTTTAGAAATAGACAGAATGACATATTTTCATCATAAGAGACTAATTTAATGTTAAATTCCATTGCATGCCACTGGAAAAACCCAAGACAATAAACATTTTGAAAAGCAATCTATACTTAGAATGATTTTAGTTAATTGTTATTGTTCAGGATACACAATATATACTAAAAAAGCAATTATGCAAATGTGTCATTCACATTTGACACCACCAAAAACAAACAAAAACCTACATAGAATTAATGATATGATTTTATACTAGAGGCCCGGTGCACAAAATTTGTGCACGGGGGTGTGTGTGTCCCTCAGCCCAGCCTGCACCCTCTCCAATCTGGGACATCCCCTCTCACAATCCAGGACTGCTGGCTCCCAACCGCTCGCCTGCCTGCCTGCCTGCCTGATTGCCCCTAACCGCTTCCGCCTGCCAGCCTGATCACCCCCTAACCACTCCCCTGCCAGCCTGATCGACACCTAACTGCTCCCCTGCTGGCCCGATTGCCCCTAACTACCCTCCCTGCTGGCCTGGTTCCCAACTACCTTCCCCTGCAGGCCTGGTCCCCCCAACTTCCCTCCCCTGCAGGCCTGGTCCCCCCAACTGCCCTCCCCTGCAGGCCTGGCCCCTCCCAACTGCCCTCCCCTGCCAAGCATCTTGTGTCCATATGGGGGTGGCCATATTGTGTATTGGAGTGATGGTCAATTTGCATATTACTCTTTTATTAGATAGGATGATAAACCATGAGATTGCTAATGTTAGTTAACTATAGTAGTCTCAGCATCCACAAAAACAAAACATAGCCCAAGCTGGTTTGTCTATGTTTTGTTTTTGTGGCTAGAGTGTCAGCCTGCAGACTGAAGGGTCCTGGGATTGATTCCAGTGAAGGGCACATGCCTAGGTTGCGGGCTCGATCCCCAAAAGGGGGCATGCAGGAGGCAGTCGATCAATGATTCTCTCTCATCATTGTTTTTCTCTCTCTCTCCCTCTCCCTTCCTCTCTGAATCAATAAAAAAATATTTTTTTTTAAAAATAGATTAAATCTTCTCAAATTTCAGAGTTAGAAAAGCCTAACAGAGCATATAACTTCTGCTCCAAAATTCAAACTTAGCATTAGATACAACATTTACTCAAATTTTTAATTTCTGAATAATGGGCTTATTCAGTAATAGACCTAAACCACCACTAAATTAACCAATCCCTTAATTTACACTATCGTCTTTAATTCATTCTTTCTTTCCCATGCTCAAAACCATCACTTTTTTACAACTCTTCCCTTTGATACTGCAGACTTTCCTTTTTAGGACTATGTAATTTCTTTTTTAACACATTGCGTACCGCATAGAAATTTCTAAGACATACGCCAGGGACCGCACATTTTTGGGCAAACTGCACGTTATTTAAATCATCATAATGCACTTTAGGTGTTGTTTTCAATAATTGTAACATTTTTATTTACAAAAACAATTAAACAATTAAAATTCCTAGTACTTTTTTAACGTATGGTACTGCGTAAAACATTTTCCTCTATGAAGAGGGACCAAACAAAATTTACATAAGTATCTAGATTCGCTCCTTTTTCCATGGGCGTGAAAAACAAGAACACTCGTGAGCAGTCCTTAACAGATGGCGCACGAAACACGAGAAAACTCCTGAGCGGTACGAAATGTGTTAAGAGAAGAGTAAAGCCTGCTGAAATTCAAGGTCTGGGTGATTAGCTAGTTTTAAATCACTAAATAACTAGCTCCCACAGGTGTAGACAACAAATATTTATGCCCCAGCAAATAAAAAATTACTATGTCATGAACTTTAAGAATCATCCTCAAAGTAGCAACTGTGTATGAAAGGGTCTTCTGTACTTATGGGAGCTGATATCAGCGCACATAAACTACACATGGATCTGATTTATTGGAGTAAAAAAGATTGTTATATTCCTAAGCTTGTGCACTGACAACAACACACTTCTTTAATATAAAATTGCAGCTTCCAAAATAACAGTTTAAAGAACAAAGTCTGACATAAGGCAGACTTCCTTTCTCTGTAGAAACCTGCTTGCCAAGTAAAATCCTGGTGAGGTTCACCCATGGTACCAGCCATCTCATCTGTCAGGGGTAAGTGAACAATGAGAAGCAAAACTCAATGGCTGCTCTTGTAGAAGTAGGCATGTGCACTAGACCACAAGGCTAAGATGGTGCAAACTTTCCCTCTCTTTGCCTTTCACTAACGAAGTCATTTGCAGGCATTCTAAGATCCTTTCTAAAGCAGATCTTCTATTAATAAATAATTCCAAGGATCTATTAAAATTTCTGCCCCCAACCTTCTTGATTTTTGTCATGCAAACTGAAAATATAACATGATGTTTTAACAAAGGAGAGTTTTACATGGTGTGTTACTGGAGGTACTATTTGTTTGCAGATATCTTCTGATACCAAACATATTACAATTAAGATTTTAAGAAGCTACTTACTGCTACACCAGCATGATAACTTGTTCCACAAGCAATAAGAATCAAGCGCCGGCACCTCTGGATCTCCTTAATGTGATCCTTCAAACCGCCCAAATTCACTGAAATAAAAGTTCATGTATATAATTATTTAGGAAAGAACCATATGAAACAAGCAATCATTTTTGATAAGTGCCCACTACCAATCTGGGAAGCAACAGAATTTTAAAGAATTTGTATTCCTCTGAGGAACTCTTATAGAAGTAGGCATGTGCACTATCCACTGAGCCAAACTGGCTAGGGCTCCTCTCAGTCTTTGCCATCTCATGCACCTAATGTTAGAGTCATCCTCATTGCTCCTATCCCTTCTCCACATCCACTCCACCAGCAAGTCCTAGGAACTCCACCTAGGAGTTCTCTGTAATTCGGTTGTTTTCTTTTTTTTTTTTTTCTCCTTAGGTCCCTATTTGTTGAAAAGTAATTAAAATAAGGCACAACTTAACTGGTTCCCCAGATTTGTAACTAGCCTTATTCAGCTCCCTACCACATGTCCACACTACTACAGTATGTATCACACTTTAACTTGTTTGGTCAATTTTACATTCCTTCTTTTTTTTTTTAATATATTTTATTGATTTTTTTAGAGAGGAAGGGAGAGGGATAGAGAGTTAGAAACATCGATAGAGAGAAACATCGATCAGCTGCCTCCTGCACCCGCGCTCCCCCCCCCCCCCCCACCACGGGGATGTGCCCGCAACCAAGGTACATGCCCCTGACTAGAATCAAACCTGGGACCTCTCAGTCCATAGGCCGATGCTCTATCCACTGAGCCAAACCGGTCAGGGCCATTCCTTTCTTTAGATTAAAAGTTATCTTAAAGGCAAAACTATATGGACACGGTAGATGCTGATGTCTGGAGGTGGGGAAGTTGCTGATTACAAAGGACACAAGGAGTTTTTAGGGTAATGGAACTGTGCTATGTCTTCATTGTTGTAGAGGTCAGCATTATGAGCATGTTATGGAAGTTTTGTTGAAACTCACTGAATTATACAATAAGAACAATAAATTTTATTATATCTACACTAATAAAAGGGTAATATGCTAATTAGACCAGATAGCCCGGACATCTTCCGGACGTCTTTCCTGACAAAGCCGGGGCCCCGGGCGAAGCCGCCCAGCGTCCCAGGTGCCTGCGGCTGGCCCAGGCTTAGCTGGCCCGGGTCCCGGGTGCCTGCAGCCAGCCAGAGGGAGGGAAGCCTGGGTCCTGGGTGCAGGGGCCAAGGCAGAGGCGGTTAGGGGCAATCGGGCAGGCAGGCGAGCAGTTAGAGGTGATCAGGCAGGTAGGCAGAGACAGCTAGGGGTGATCAGGCAGGTAGGTGAGCAGTTAGGGACGATCAGGCAGGCAGGCAGGCGAGCAGTTAGGAGCCAGTGGTCCCGGACTGCAAGAGGGATGTCCGACTGCCGGTTTGCGGGATCGGCTCTAAACCGGCAGTCGGACATCCCCCGAGGGGTCTCGTGGATTGCAAGAGGTGCAGGCCCAGTCTGAAAGACCCCCCCCTCCCCCCCGTGCATGAATTTCATGCACTGGGCCTCTAGTATCTCTATAAGCCTGCATGGGGGAAAAATAACTTAGTTATATTCATTTCTCCTACGGTACCCAGAACAGTGCTCTGAACATAATATAAACCCACTCTCCTCTCAGTCTTTTTTTTTTTAAGTTATTTTATTTTATCTTTAGTTAATCCTCACCCGAGGATATTTTTCAATTGATTTTTAGAGAGAATGGAAGGGAGGGGAAGAGACAGAGAGAGAAACATTGATGTGAGAGACACATTAATTGCCTCCTGCACACATCCCCACCCGGGGCTGGGGATTGAGCCTGCAACTGAGGTATGTGCCCTTAACCGGATTCAAACCCAGGATCCTTTCAGTCCAAGGGCCGAAGCTCTATCGACTAAGCCAAACTGGCTAGGGCTCCTCTCAGTCTTTGCCATCTCATGCACCTAATGTCAGAATCATCCTCATCGCTCCTATCCCTTCTCCACATCCACTCCACCAGCAAGTCTTAGGTGCTCTACCTTCAAATTATATCTCTACTGCCATCACCCCAGTCCAACATTTCTCCCCTCGATGGGACCATTCTAACTATTCTCTCTTCAGTTTTCCACTTCCACTTGGCCTGGTCTCCACACACAGCCAAAATAACCTTTTAAGTGATTCTTTAAAAACATGAATCTGATATTAAAAGCCTCTTGATGAGTCTGTCCTCCTTCTATGTATATATTCTTCTAAGAGTACCTTGTCTATGAACAATTCTACACAAGGCTGGTTTTCTACCTGTGAGAAATTTTCATTCAAGAATCATTCAAGTATTGAACTAATATTTCCTGAGCACCCACCAAGTGAACATACTGTCCAAGGCTATACTGTGTGGCAACCAGAGCTCTCAGACAGTTCAGACTCTGGCTGAGGAGACAGATGTGCACACCCAGGCAGCATCCTCCTGCATATGACCCACCATCCATCTGCCTACTTTGTCCCTGTTCTTCATCTCCCCACCATTTTTTCTACCTTAATTGGCTAAAATATGGAACTAAGGTATATGTTTTTACTTATCTTTTTTAATAATTTTATGTTCTTCCTTTATAGTATTTATTTTTAAAAATTAGTAAAGTGGGAAATAAAGTAACAAAAAGGTTCCCTGGCTTCCCAAATATCTTAGAATAGAATCCAAACCCCTTAATATGGCCTTCAAGTTTCTACATGCCCTGTCTCCTGCTTAACTCTGACCTAATCTCCTCATACTTCCCCTCTCACCCAGGCCACACCAGCCAAACTGACCCTCTGGTTATTCCTGCACTAGACCAAGCCTATTCGTGTACTTCTGCCTACAATGTTCTTCCACTGACCTTGGCATGTAGCAAAAATGTTTGGGAAGAAAGGAAATAACACTAAGAGGTTGGGTAAAGGTTGCACAAAGGCAAATCAGTTTGGAGATGACTCAGTATAAAAGCAGACATACTGTCAAAGAGACTTGTATTTCAGATTATGATCAAGAATGACAGGGATGCCTTGCCAGTGAGGCTCAGTGGTTGAGTGTCAACCTATGAACCAGGAGGTCACGATTTGATTTCCGGTCAGGGCACATGCCCAGGATCCCCATTGTGGGGCGTGCAGGAGCCAGTCAATCAATGATCCTCTCGCATTACTGATGTTTCTATCTGTCTCTCCCTCTTCCTTCCTCTAGGAATCAATAAGAATATATTAAACAAACAAAAAAAGATGACTGGCAGCCATATATTCTATAAGGCTATCGAGGACAATGAACTTTCAGGCTGTCAATGCCAACCCCCAGACTTTGAAATAAAAAAATAATTGATATGTAATTACCAGTATAGTCATCAAAGTTGACTCTTCCTCTCATTGTGTTCACAACTGACTCTGGCTGCTCAAAAATTTCCTTCTGCATAAATGAACTGAAGTTGCCTAAAGGAATATAAATTATATCGTTAAAACAAACAAACAAAAAATAAGCCAAAGAATAACAAATTTGTACAAAACTGAAAATCTATCTCCTTTGACATAATCTTAGTAAATGAAATGAAACAAAAGGTCATGCCATTGAGGACAATGTTCATATATGACATTCTACTCTATGTGAAGAAAAATGAACAAGGAGAAAGAATCATGTAAAATATGCAGTTACAGATAAACAGGGGAGTGGGACAAGCTTAAGTTTTGGATTCAAACCTAGGTTTGAATCAAGGATATTATTAGCTAAGAGACCCTGGGGAAATACCTTAATCTGTAAATTAAGAACAGCAACTACTTCATAGCATTGTAGCATGGACATATACAGACTTGACACATAGCTATTACATAGTGTTACTTTTTATTCCCACTACAACCCCACCAGAAAGGAGAATAAAAGCCTTAGTCACAATAATTATCTCTAATAATAAAAATGTAATATGCTAATTAGACTGGAAGTCTTTCAGGACACCCGGGTCCCAGGTGCCTGCCGGCGGCTGGTGGGAAGCCCAGGTCCCGAGTGCCAGAGGGAAGCTGGTGCCAGCAGCCGGGGGAAGGAAGGCCTACTCTTGCATGAATTTTGTGCATCAAGCCTCTAGTAATAGATAAGAGCAGCAAACATTACGTAGGGTTCATTAAGTGTGTCAGGCACTATTCTAAGGGCTTTACATGTATTGGCTCTCTTAATCCTTAATGAGGTAGAACCTATTATCCTCACTTTATATATAAGAAAACTCAAGCACAGGGAGAATAAGAAAGAAATAAAGAACAGAACACAAACTATGTTTATAAAGCATCTTAAAAATTTCAAGTACTATTTAAATCATCTCTTTTTAATGTTTGAAAAGAAAACCATGGATTAATTGGAGGAAAACTATTGTAAAACTAACAGATAATTTCTTCCAAGAATCATCTCTTTTCCTGTGGCTGTCCCTTCACTACTCATGTGGACAATTTCACTCAGCACTGTGTTACCAGATTTCTACACTAGGACAGGAAGTAGAATGTACCCTTTCCAATAAGGACACCAAGCTATAACATGACAAAACTTTCACCCTTCATGATCTGCTGGAGTTCCATCTGGAGGGTTTGCACAGCTCTTCCAGGGTGATCTCCTGCAGTTCGTTTAATTCGATGGATAGAAAGACGGCCATCTACCACTGCTGCTACATCATCATCTTCAAGAAAGATGACGCGATTGGTGTGTTCTATGACAGCACTATAAAACATTCAAGGAGATATTACAATCAATAATCAAGGATGATTATTAAAACTATCACTAGGACACAAAAATCAAATTTAAATAAAAACTCAGATTTTTAATTATTTCCTACAACTTTTGTGATATCATACTGTTAGTACAGTTTCGGTAGTATTATAGTTGAAATCCTTTTTTTCTTGGAATATTAATGTTTATTGCATGTAACATTATATTTGAAAAATAAACTTTAAAAAAAAAAATACAAACTCTATCATCCTGCCATATTTCTGATAGCTTTCTGGTTATTGATGCCATTCCTCATAGGGAAGTCAGGGTGAGGCGTGGTCACTGTGGACAGTGAATAAAAGGATCTCTATGCAGCAACCTACACCAAATTAGATTAGATCTGAAAGAAAACATGGTTGTTTCTTCCTCATTCTATCCATCACCAAATACTCCAATTTTAACTCCTAAGTATTTCTCAAAGCTTCTATATCCACCACCACAAACCAGTTCAAGCTATCATCAACTCTTTGCTGAACTACTATAGCAACCTCCTAACTTGTCCACCCACATTCCCTCTAATCTCTCTCCATCCACTGTCCATTTCTGCCAAAATGAATATCAAAAGGCAACTCTCATCAGGATTTCTCCCTCATCCAGCAAACCACATGACTGCTTCCCTTTGGCTCTTAGGAAGTCAACAAAATGCATAACTGTGACCCCTACCTCCTCCTCTAGCCTCATTTCCCACCGCTATTCCAGCCCACACTCCCACCCATCCCAAACTCTCACAGGCTGATCAATCTGCAGAGAATGAATGTCCTTTCCTCCATCTCTCACCTATTTAACTCCTAATATCTCCTTAACTCTCATTTCAAGCATCATTCCCTTAAAGAAATTTACTCATGAGGGTAAGTCACCTGTTATAAGCATTCTATAACTCTCATCACAGCTGGAATTCTACACTTGTGTGACTATTGATTAAAATTTGTCTTCTCCACTAAGAAAGAGCTCCTTGCTCTAGCCAGTTTGGCTCGGCAGATAGAGCATCGACCTGCAGATTGAAGGGTCCCCAGTTCGATTCTGGACAAGGGCACATGCCTGGGTTGCAGGCTCTATCCCCAGTAGGGGGCATGCAGGAGACAGCCAATCAATGATTCTTTCTCATCAATGTTTCTGTTTCTCTCTCCCTCACCCTTCCTTTCTGAAATCAATAAAAACATGTAAAAATAAAAAAGAGCTCCTTAATGACAAGTAATATTTTTTACTCACCATTATCTCCTAAGCACAGTACATGCTTTGCTAGTGTGCAGTTAAGACCATATGAATGAATGAGTAAAAAACAGCTGAGGTGTTTCTGCAACCTCATTTATTTAAGCTATAAGTGTCAACTCTGTAACAAACCTACTTAATGACAGCAATGACACATCTTAGCACTGATTATACACCTGTAAAACATTAAAGCGTAAAGCTTGTTTTCCCACTGAGATAATAAATTCTCTAAAGTCCCAAACGCCATCAGTTTTCACTTTTAGATCCCTCTACTCTCAGGCACAATGAATGACTCAAATACATGTTAGCAATTTGAATGATTCCATTTTATATCGATTACTAGAGGCCTGGTGCACGAATTCGTGCACAGGTGGGGTCCAGCCAAACGCAGCCGATCAGGCAGGGCCAGCCAGGGGGAGGGGACGCGGGAGGTTGGCCGGCCGGCCCCAGCCACAATCTGGGGGAGGGCCGGCTGGGGGGAGGGACCATGGGCGGTTGGCCAGCCGGCCCTGCCCCCTGGTCGAACTCCCGGTTGAACTCCAGGTCGAGGGGACAATTTGCATATTAGCCTTTTATTATATAGGATTATTAGTATTTCATTTATAAATGCATCTAAGCATCCCACTGCATTTTCTCACATAGTCTAGTACTATTTCCTTTGTAAAACTGATTATGTTGCCAATTACTTCTGAATTAAAAAGATAAACGTCTACATTAGACTAAAAGTAAAATGGTTTAGCAACTTTCCTATAATTGGTGGGATACTAAACTATTAACACTCCAATCTAAAATCTTTCGTCCTGCCCTGGCTGAGTAGCTCAGTTGGTTACAGCATTGTCCCAATATGCCAAGGTTGTGGGTTCAATCCCTAGTCAGGGCACACATAAGAGACAACCAATGAATGCATAAATAAACGGAACACCAAATCAATGTTTCTATTTCTCTCTCTCTCTCAAATCAATAAATAATAAATTTTTAAAAATCTCTCCTCCCTATAAAACCTAGATAAGGCTCCTAAAAAAGGAGAAAAAAATACATGAGCTCAGCATAAATACATTGGAACAAGTCTCAAGGTTTATTATCTGTTCTTTATTGATCTATGTGCTTTGAATTGAGAGAAAAGGTGTTCTTAAAACCCATCTCCAAAAAAAGGTCACCTTCACTTTCTTAATTAACAAAGTTCTCTTGTACAACATGACCACATTTATACAAAATGACTTTCTGGTTTCCTGTGGCATCACAAGTTTCACTACAAATTCTCTTTGCATCAACTAAGGGAGCTCACCTTGCATCAGAAGCAAAGTAATATTCCACCGCTTTTTCCTCAACAGGGAAAAGGCAAGTTGTGCTGTCCACACGAGAGAGATTGCAGCTTCCTTTCTTATCTTTGCCTAGAGCGCAGAGTTAATAGGTAAGCATGTAGAAAACCAGGGCCAATATAAAAATATACATAATTTTCTAGAAAAATCAACAAAAAACCATAGCAACACAAAGTAATTTCAGCAACTTTAAATGCTGAAAAAAAAGATCACTTATTTCCATGCAAGAAGAAAAACAGACAAAGCATGTCCAGTGAAACAGCAACTATCAAAGAGAGTGTGGCAGATAACTGTGCTATAATATAAATGTTTTTCATATTTCTTTTCCAGGTAAAAATCAAAATACTTTATTAATATCACTCTTTTTTAATTCCATAATATATGGAATTAATACATGTTTGTATACCTAAACTTATCATAAAATCACATTTAAAATATCAAAATTGTATAATAAAAAATAAAGACAAGTGGCATAGTAATTTTTATTATCTCATAACAAAACTTCTCTGGATTTTAATAATAATTTTGTGCCCTGCTGGTGTGGTTCAGTGTTTGAGCATCGACTCATGCACTGAGAGGCTGACAGTTCAATTCCCAGTCAGGGCACATGCCTAGGTTGTGGGCTCATTCCCCAATGTGGGGCATGCAGAAGGCAGCCATTTCTCTCTCATAGATGTTTCTATCTTTCTCTCTCTTTCTCTCTCTTCCTCTCTCCCTTCTTCTAGCTCTAAAATCAATAAAAAACATATTTTTTAAAAAATAAAAAGCAGCCCTGACCGGTTTGGCTCAGTGGATAGAGCGTCGGCCTGCGGACTCAAGGGTCCCAGGTTGATTCCAGTCAAGGGCATGTACCTTGGTTGCGGGCACATACCCAGTGGGGAGTGTACACGAGGCGGCTGATCGATGTTTCTCTCTCATCGATGTTTCTGACTTTCTATCCCTCTCCCTTCCTCTCTGTAAAAAATCAATAAAATATATTTTAAAAAATAAATAAATAAAAATAAAAAATAAAAAGCAAAAAATTAAAAAAATAGTAAACTGACCTAACAAATCAAGATATAGTCTCCACTAACTGTAATTTAAAAACAAAAGATACTTATAACTCTAACAAATAAGGAATGAAAATATTATAAACGCAGAACCTCTTCTTTCTTAAAACTGAGTTTTCTAACATTTAAGTTCGAAAAAAGGAGTAATGGTCCATTTGCATTGACAATATCCTCTTAATTCTAGCACTTTAGAATTTTGGCATCTCTACTTAATTCGTCAATCACTGATGAACATTTTTTTCCTTTTTGCTCATTCATAGCTAAAGTCAAATCTGGAAAGCATACTGAAATTTGACAAATTAGCGAATATATTTTTTAATCTATTAATTGAAAACTATATAAATGTCAGAGACAAAAGAGCACCTTTCTCTAAAATCAGGACATCGTAACTATATAACCTACGTACACAATGACCAGACATCATCATAAATATACTTGCAAAAAATTCATAATGTGTTAATCCTCTAAAATGCATGTCTATAAAGACTTGGAAGTAATTATTCTTAGAAATACATATCCAAAGTTCTCCACAATCCATGATTATTTGGTGAGGTTTAGGCATGAAAACCAAATAGTTCTTCCCATCCAAATTCAATAGCAGAAAAGATACTGCACTTCAAAAAATAAGTATTAGGTAACATCCTAGAAAAGATAATACTCAAGACAGATAAAACAGATCAGTGTCTGCCAGAGGCTGAGAATGGGGACCAGGGTTGATTACAAAGTGGCAGTGGGAGGGAACTTTTTGGGGGGTGGAATTTTTCTGTATCTTGACTATGGTAGTGGTTACACACCTGTTTGCATTTGACAGAACTCAGGAAATTTTACATAAAAAAGAGTGAGCTTTATTGTCTTTCAAAAAGTGAATCAAGCCCTAGCCAGTTTGGCTCAGTGGATAGAGCGTCGGCCTGTGGACTGAAGGGTCCCGGATTCGATTCCGGTCAAGGGCATATGCCTGGGTTGTGGGCTTGACCCCCAGTTGGGGGTGTGCAGGAGGTAGCCAATCAATGATTCTCTCTTATCACTGATGTTTCTATCTCTCTCTGCCTCTCCCTTCCTCTCTGAAATCAATAAAAAATATATTTTATAAAAAATAATTAAAAAAATAAAAAGTGAATCAAGAAATAGGTAAAATGCGTACTGACCGGTGTGGCTCATTTGGTTGAGCATCATCCCATGCACCGAGAGGTCACCAGTTAGATTCCTGGTGGGGGCACACACCCAGGTTGCGGGGTCAATCCCCAGTAGGGGGCGTGCAGGAGGCAGCTGATCAATGTTTCTCTCTCCCTCTCCCTTCCTCTCTCTAAAATCAATAAAAACATCTTCTTTAAAAAATAGGCAAAATGATAGCGCAGCACCTACATTTTTTTAAATAAACACAATCAGCTTTGGTTATATAATGCACTAATGGGGCTGAGTTTCACTATACATATTCTTTCTCCAAATATTGGTTATTTCATTCTTCAAGTAACAAAGTATATTTAATTACAATATTCAGAAGAAGTTAAGGTATCATTGCCAATTTAAATGAAAAGAACACTACTACTTGACACCTATATGACTCTTAAAATCTATAAAATGTCTTTCTATATTCTCTCATCTGATTTCATTTAAGTGGAATACAATTATCATCATTCCACTTTATTTGGTCACCTGGAGAAAACAGTAACAGCCTAAAAGCCAGTTCAGGGTTCTCCTCTTTACACAGCCTCTTCAATAAGAGGCCTATTTTTTAAATTACTCTGTTGAGCACACTCTCTACCTATTAGGAGCTAGAGAGGTAAGGGTTACTAAAACATAGACTCTGATCTCAAAAAGATCTGTCCCGTGATAAACGTTTCCTTCAATTTCTTAAAACCTTAGCCAATGTTTTCCCATTGCTTCTAAAAGCAGCTTAAAACAATGTAGAAGGTAATATATAGGTAATGTATACACAGCAGAATTATTAACAGAAATCTGGAACTCTGGATCCAAAATTTGCACTCTCACTGATAGACTAGTTTTTCTTCTGAAAAGGGAGGGAAGGGGATGAGGAAGATAAAAAATTCTAACAACTCAGAACTTTTATCTGCTACAGATAAAATAGTGAAAGCAGTTACAATCTAAAGGTGAATAGGTTTAGAGTATTTTGCTGAATTTTTTTTCAAGAAATCAAGAATTATACATTAATAATATAAGTTCTAATTTCCTGAATTTACTTTTAGTAATAAGCAAATAGAAAGAGCACATCTTTTTAAAAATCTAATTATATCCATGAAATGTTCCAGAGTTTATATAGCTGAAAGTCTTATAAAAAATTCAAACTTATTAAAAAAGAACAATTCCAAATCCAAACAAAGCCAATCAAGATACTGAATGTAAATCTAAAAGTAAAATGTCATGCATAAAATAAAAACCATTAAAACCGACTATGTCAGTTAAAAATTAGGCTGAATTATTCAAATTATAACTAAGTCCAATCTATAGTAGTCTAGAACACAATGCTCTTTTCCCCATCTTGGCATCTTAGTTATAATAAGGTATCCTACATGATTTTAATTTAAAGCAAAGGAAAAAAACTATTTTTTTTCAAATATCAGAGACTTTAAAGAAACGAATTACTAAAAGCAGTTTTCTAAATGCCAAAAGCAGACAGACAAAATATACTCTGCAAGTTAGAAAAAATGTCAAAATATATTTCCCCATAAAATAAGCACATTTTTAGAGGCCCAGCACATTCATTCACTCCAAGAACAAAGAATTAGTAAAGAATAAACAAAACAGGATAAGATTCCTCCCCATCCATGCAGTGCATTTCCCACCTCTTTCTCCCTGTGATCCCCACCGTGTGAATTTTGATCCAATCTGAGTCCTAGCTATGGATATACAACAGAAAAAAATTCTACTTGTCAGAGAAATCACAAAACAAATACTTTTCATGTCTAGACAGAACTATGTATGAGTGGACCTGACCAAAGCATTTATTTCAATTTAAGGAAAACAATTCTTCATATCTACTGCATTCAATTTATACATTCTACCCATGGCATGATGTAGGAACAGTTTTTACCTGTTCTGTAGAGTATTGGAATGTGATCAGTAGAGAGTTTATGTTCACTTCGTACACCAATCAACAGAGGGCTACCTCGTCTGTTAGTACAAAATTAAACAGAATTAAACCATTTTTATAAACCACACATTAATGATATAAAATTTATATGTGATGACAGAACACTCTTCAAATAAAGTTTAAATTCTCCCTCCAAGCTCAACTTCAGATATAACAACAGATCAATATAAACAGAATTTTAAAAAAAAACATTCAATAACAGAGCTAAGCAAATCTGACCCACAGAGCAGGTTTGTCTATTTTTATTGGAACACAGCCATGCCCATTCTTTTACATATTTTCTACAGCAGCTTTCACACTACAAGAGCAAAACTGAGTAGTTGCTATACAGGCCTTTATGGTGAAGGGACATTTATAGTGTACAGAGAATAAACTTACAATTCAAAAGTTTCAAAATACATATAATTATTAGGCATTATTAAATTTATACATACCTTGTGACAACTGCTTGGCCAGGAAAATGAACACTTTTAAATACAAGTGCAAAAGCACCTTCCTATGGAGGGAAAAAAATGAGTCAGCAATACATATGATAATCAATTATCAAATGTGACATGTCTAATACATACTGGCTTTACCACAGAAACTTTTTGTTTACATAATCACTTTTTGCACTAGTTTATAAATGAGTCTAAATATTAGGCAGACACTTCCTCTTGAGCTTTGGTGTATCAAAGAGTCACTTTTTAAACATGCTTACTCTTCAAATAGGCTCAATAGATAAATAGCTCCAAAACAGACCATTTTAATGGAAAGAACACATCTTTTTTTTTTTGGTCTAACCTATATATATAAAAGCCCAGTGACAGGAATGGCAGAATGACCAGAATGACTGGTGGCTATGACATACACTGTGGCACCAACTGGCCTGATTCAGGCCCCGATCAGCCTCCCAACCCCAATCGGGGGTGGGGCCAGCTGGCCAACCACCCACAGCCATCCCCCCTGCTGGCCTGGCCTATGGGCCCCCATTGGGGTGAGCCGGTTGAACCCCACTCGTGCACAAATCCATGCACCAGGTCTCTAGTTATATCAATAAAATGTTCTAGAGTTTTTATAGCTGAAAGTCCTATAAAAAATTCAAACATACTACCAATGTTTCTCAATAAATAAATCATATCTTCCATATTATACATTAATAAAGGGAAGATAGAATTAGGAAAGGACCTAAGTTCAATACCCAAAACCCATTTTATACCACTGTTAACTTACACTTTTTTTTACCTTGACATTGGAGATAAATATATACCGTCACAATTATTAACATGTATATCATACCACCCCCTCTACCCAACCTCCTCAAGGACAGGGCCTAAAGAAATCAAGAATGAATAAAGGAAGAACATGAGGTAGGAGAAGGAAGAAAACACCATAGAACACAAACTGGGTTATACAGTGAGTAGAAATAAGACAAGACTGGGAAGGCACAATACTCTGCCTTGAGTAAAGGGATGGAATGGACCTCTATTTTCTTCACTTTCTGTCTCCTCCTTTACTGTAGACATCATAAGGATGGGAGGAGGTGGGAAATGAGGGCTGGACCTTCACTGAGAAGTAAAAGGCTTTTAAATGGGAAAGCTAGAGCTATGAGTGGGGGAGGGGGATAGAAATCACTATGCATTTGGACTTTTGTGGATCTTTAATCTTTATTTAGGGCACTTTAGATGGGATCAAAAAGAATACCACTTTTCTCTTGGGCTGGGAAATACTTTTCCATAGAGGCAAAGAGCCAAGGAAAAGTCCCCATAAGGAAAAATAAGGAGTTGACTAGACTGACTCAGAGATAAGCAAACATTATCCCAGAATAAAAAGTGTACATTTCACTGAAACTAACCTGAGCAGGAAGCAAGAAAATGATGAATCCCTGTCTATGTATACTGTATGCATGTTTGTGTGTGGTATGTATGGGTTTGTATGTGTTTGTGTGTGTATGCATGCATACTTTTTGGACAAACTGATTTTAGGTTACTTTTAATTCCCCTAACACAAAAGTACAGTGAAAGAAATAAAATTTTAAGTGTGTGGGAAAGGATGGTTCATCAGTGAAACAACAATCCCTCAAAATTATTCAGGTTGAAAAGTTATATATGAAAAGTAAAAGCCAAAAATATTTTAAAATTAGCATAGTTCCTGCTTCTCAAACTTAATTTTAAGGACATATTATTAAAAACAAAGATATATTATGATTAATGTTTGTAATAATTATCTTTAAAAGGGTAAAGACTGTTGGTTGCCAGGGGTGAGGGGGGTTGGGGTGAAATAGGTAAAGGGATTAAGAAGTACATATTGTCAGCTACAAAATAGTCCCAGGGATGTAAAGTACAGCACAGGGAATACAGTCAAAATATTGAAATAATTATGTATGGTGCCAGGTGGGTACTGGAAATATCAGGGGGAACACTTTGTAAAGTATATGATTTCCCAACCACTATTGAGTGAAAACTGTAATTAAAAAATAATTTTTTTAAAGTGTGATTTAATACCAATTGTTGGATAACTCTCTCCACCAAGGTAGTAAAACTGGTATCTTGACTTTCCCGATTGTCATACATGTACTTAACAAGCTTGGCAATTGTTTCTGTGTCTGTTTCAGATTCAAAGTCATAACCTTTACTTTCCTGTAATTAGAAAGAAAAAAAAATTGACACATTTAAGGAAATATTCATCATATCCAAATCTTATCTACAGATTTTTTTTCCCTCAAAAATCTCACTAATCAATTTCTAATCTTTTTGACCACCATACACCATTACCCACTGTTCAAAATTAAGGTAACAGGAGGCAAGTCAAGATGGTGGCATAGGTAAACGCAGTACTCGCCTCCTCCCACAACCACATCAAAATTACAACTAGAGAATAACCATGATTCAGAACCACCTGAAATCTGGCTGAATGGAAGTCCTACAATTAGACAATTAAAGAAGAAGACACATTGAGACTGGTAGGAGGGGCAGAGGCGCAGGGGCTGGTCCGATATCCATATGTGTTATCTTTTTAATCAGGAGGACTATCTTGGCTTATGCAGAGGTTCCTCGTGAGGAGCAAAGGGTTCCAGCCCCATACCAGACCCCTCAGGCCTAGCCCCACACCAGACCCTGGGAAGAGAAGTCTCTAACTTCAGGCTATAAAAACCAGTGGAGATTGTGGCACAGTTGGGTTGCTGAAGTCCCAGGCAGTTCCTCTTAAAGGGCCCACACACAGACTTACTCTGACTCACTGCCTCTGAGCTCCAGTGCTGGGGCAGCAACTTGAAAGCATCCAGGAACATATGGGAGGAACTAATTTGTCTGGCATCAGGGCAAGAACTGGGGGCAGCTTTATCCCACACAAAAATGCTGGCAGAGGTGCAGAGAAGACCTCCCTGCCACAATGCCAACAGACAGTTGCAATATCTGAGTATCCATCAACTTGGCCCACAAGTTCGCTCCACCCTCGTTATTCCCTGAGACCCCACCACACCCAAATTGTGTGCCCACCCAACCTGTTTGTAGTGGCTTTTCCATATAAATGGCCTCTTGGCTCAGGCTTAAGACTTTCCTAATATTTCTCAAACAAGCAGCAGCTGGCCTAGCATGCCCCATACCTCTCGATAAGTGGCCCTAGAACCAGCAATAGCAGCAGCCTGCCTTGGTTCACACTTTGCCTCTCCTGGGCACCTCCAAGCCCAACACAAGTAGCAGCCATCTGCAGATCACTCCATAGCTTGACGGGTGTCCCCAGGCAGGGCACAAGCAGTAGCTGACTTTGCACCTCCCAGGAGGCCCCAGAGCCACTGTACCCGGTGGCCACCTTCAGACCATGACAGATTACAGCCTATCACATCCACCAGTGACATACTGAAGGGGAAGACTTGGTGAGCACCAAAGCCCCACTAAAGCAAGTCCTGCTCCATAAGGGTGTCTCCTACACAACAGCTCTTCCTCTGTAGTCAAAGCTGGTCTGCACAGCCAATTGGCCTGAAGGTCAATCCCTCCCAGTGATGCCAAAAGCAACTGAGGCTCAACTACAACAGGAAAGCACAGACAACCCACACAGGGGCACACTTAGAGTGCTCAGCTCAGGTGACTGGGGAGGCTGAGCCACTGGGCTCTTCAGGACACATAATACACAAGGCCACTCTAACAATTCCAGGTGACATAGCAGCTCTACCTAATACACAGAAACAAACACAGGAAAGCAGCCAAAATGCAGAACAAAGAAACATGACACAAATGAAAAAACAGAAAAAGAACTAAATAAATGGAAGCAAGCAAATTACCGGATACAGAGTTCAAAGGATACTCAAGAAACTCAATGAAAACTTCAAGGAACTTGGTGAGAACCTCAAGGAATTTAGTGAGACCCTCAACAACATAAAAAAGGAAAAGTCAGAAATGAAGGCTACACTAATTGAAATGAAGAATAATTTACAGGGAATCAACAGTAGAGGATGACGAGAATCAAATCAGCAATTTGGAATGAAGGAGCAAAAAACACCCAATCAGAAAAGCAAAAAGAAAAAAGAATCTAAAAATATGAAGATAGTGTAAGGAGCCTCTGGGACAACTTCAAGCATACCAACATTCACATCAGGGGGATGCCAGAAGAAGAAACGAAGCAAGAAATTGAAAATCTATTTGAAAAAATAATGACAGAAAACTTCCCTTACCTGGTGATAGAACAAGACATACAAGTCCAGGAAGCGCACGATGAACCCAAAGAGGCCCATACCCAAGACATAATTAAAATGTCAAAAGTTAAAGACAAAGAGAGAATCTTAAAAGCAGCAAGAGAAAAGCAGTTAGTTACTTACAAGGGAGCACCCATACGACTGTCAGGTGATTTCTCAACAAATTTTGTAGGCAAGAGGGGAGTGGCAAGAAATATTCAAAGTGACGAAAAGCAAGGACCTACAACCAAGATTATCCAGCAAAGCTATTATTTATAATTAAAGGTCAGATAAAGAGCTCCACAGACAAGAAAAAGCTAAAGGAGTTCATCACCACCAATGAGCATTAATGAAACGTTAAAGGGTCTTCTTTAAGAAGGAAAAAAAGGATAAAAAATATGAACGATAAAATGGCAATGAATACATATCAACAACTGAATCTAAAAATCAAAATAAATGAACAAGGAATCTAATGAATAAAATAAATTGATGAATAAAATAGAATCAGAAACATGGAAACATGGAACAGACCAACAAATCTCAGAGGGAAGAGGGGCGTGTGGGTGGAAAGTGATTAACTAAAGAACTTACATGCATACATGCATTACCCATGAACACAAACTATAGAGTGGTGAAGGCCTGGGGCAGGGTGGATCCGAGTGGAGGGGGACAATAAGGGGAAGAAATGGGGGTAGGGGCGAGGACACATCTATAATATACTCAACAATAAAGTTTTAAAAAATAAAAATAAACAACCCAGCTGGTGTGGCTCAGTGGTGGAGTGCCAACCCATGAACCAGGAGGTCACAGTTCGATTCCCAGTCAGGGCACATGCCTGGGTTGCAAGCTCGATCCCCAGTAGGGGGCGTGCAGGAGGCAGCCATACAATGATTCTCTCGCATCATTGATGTCTCTATCTCTCTCTCCTTCTCCCTTCTTCTCTAAAATCAATAAAAATATATTTACATAAATCTATATGCCAATATGAATTAAATAAATTTTAAATAATTAAAATATAATAAAATATATAATATAAAAACAAATCCCATAATGAATATGATAATTCTTTATTTAACAATGATATTTTACTATGCAATACTATAGACATTAGATATACGTGGCTATTTAAATTTAAATTGATTGAAGTGAAATAATTTCAAATTTAGTTCCTTAGTCATACTAGCTCAAAAGCCATATATGAACAGTGGCTACTATATTGGACAGTACAGATATGGAAGGTTTCCATCACTACAGAAAGTTTAGTTGGACAGACCTGAGAAGCCATTATAAAAGTCATCATCATGATCATTACTAGGTAAGTACATAGCTATTTAGGGCATAGAACCTTCATTTAATCTGTTCTGATTCCTCTTACATATCCTAGAATCTTTTAAAAATGGCAAACAAGGTTTCTCTTAATGCAAAAGACATAACCACAAAATTTAAATTTTAGTTGAGTTTCTGGATCATTCATAACAAAGCCAAATAATTGTTTCCTTTTCATATAAGGAACAAAAATGTTCCATTGTCAACAAAGAAAAGTCCAATAAACCACCATACCCTTGAAACTGTCTTAGGAATTACTTGATCACACCTAGATAGTATTTATTGCATATCTCAACAAACAACCTCACTGCTCTCATTAGAAGTACTGTCAAACGCTGGTGGTCTTTTTAGGTCAATTTACTTACCAAAAACTTTTTCAAGTCTTTGTAGTTGGTGATGATTCCATTGTGAATAACAATAAATTCTAAAAGAGATAAAGAAATTAATGACCAAAAATTATAGGTCTAGTAAACATTATAAATAGCCATTACTGTTAAAGAGATTTTTCAAAAAAGACAAAAAATGTGTCACATGCTATACTTCAAGGTGTAATCAAGTAGTATCTACTTTTTGTTACCAGATTATCCTTGGGTAGATCAGCAGCACAGTTTATGTGGCTTAGTGGAAGTAAAGAGGGCGAGGGAGGTGGGTACAGTGGGGAAATACAATAAGCTGGTGTCTAGAGTCATCAATTTCAGCTGTGGCTAAATTACTAACCCAATGTCACCATGTGAAAGGAGCAAATTCCTTGGGTATATGTGCTCATTTGCAAATTGAGAAGGCTGAACTAAATAACTATTATTCTCACTTCTTTGTTCCTCCATTCTTATGCATAAAACATTCCTAAATTTAAAGAGAAATCTTTAAAACTAATACAATTATCTGATTGCACTAAATGAACTTAAGAACTAAAGTTAAGTAAATTAATAAGAAAAACCAGACATTATTCAGTTCTATAATTAAATCTATTTATCTGAGGTCCAGACAATTCCTAAGTGATAAATAAATGTTAAAACAGAATTCCAAAATCAAATACACATGATAGTGGGATAATTTTCAACTTTATGAAATAACTTCGAAGAATGTAAAAATGGATAATCAAGAGTTGACAATATTATTATTTATAGCTACTGACAATGTAAAGATCACTAATATGAATTTATTATTTAAAATTCATGTAAGTGAGGAGAGAAATTACCACTAAATTCAATTTTATATAAAAATGCTTTTAAAATACTTAACAATCTGATATTTGACCTGACATTAAATGTCAGGACTAAATGCATTACAACCCAGATAATAAATTAAGCATTTTCACTAGATATTTTAAGAAAGAAAAAAATGATACCACAAAATACTACCACTACAAAAAAAAAACTAAATATTTTTAATGCTAGAACACAGAGAATCATAAATAGCTAATAGTTGACATAAAGACTTAATTAAAGCCAAATTCTCAAAACATAATCTAGATATGTTTTTAGGAATTTTTTATAAAGGCCTTGTCAGAATTAAACGTTTAAGAGGTTAAGTTGTTAGCATTCTAATCTGGTTCAATGATAATTATGTGAAGCATAGAAACCTAAAACGGCAGCTTCTTAATTAAATTATACAATCTTATCTCAAAAGGGATGTATATACACACACATACATATATACACACACATACTTTTGTATGTATTTACTTATTTAACTAGAGGCCTGATGCACAAAATTTGTGCAAGAGTAGGCCTTCCTTCCCCCAGCTGCCGGCACTGGCTTCCCTCTGGCACCCAGGAGCCCAGCTTCCCTAGAAGCCCCGGCTTCATCCAGAAGGTCGTCCAGAAGGATGTCCGGTCTAATTAGCATATTATGCTTTTATTATTATAGATTTTTAATTTTAGAGAGAGGAAAGAAGAGGAAGAGAGGGAGGGAGGGATGGAGAGAGAGAGAGAGAGAGAGAGAGAGAGAGAGAGAGAGAGAGAGAGAAATATCAGTTTTGTTGTTCCACTTATTTATGCATTCATTGGTTGATTCTTATATGTGCCCTGATTGGGAATCAAACCCACAACCTTGCTGTATCGGGAGGACACTCTAACTGAGCTACCTGGCCAGGACTTTCTTTTCTTTAAAAAAACAAAAGAATAGACTCTTTTAAATGGTTATTTCCAGGAAAAGATGGAATAAGAAAAATAAGACAGAAACTAGACTTATTTTAACATGCCTATTTATTTTATTTTATTTTATTTTTTTTGTTAATCCTCACCTGAGGATATTTTGCCATTGATTTTTAGAGAGAGTGGAAAGGAGGGGAAGAGACAGAGAGAAATATCAAAGTAGGAGAGACACATCAATTGGTTGCCTTCTACATGCAGCTGCACTGGTAAGTGCCCTTGACCAGAATCAAACCTGGGACCCTTCAGTCCACAGGCCATCACTATCCACTGAGCAAAACTAGCCAGAGTTTAACATGCCTTTTTTATAGGTGTGACCTCAGAACAATGCAAATATTTTCATTTGAAATAAAATTGATTTTTTTAAAAAATCAATCCCTAAAACTCAAAATAAAATAAAATATATTAATAGAATGCTGTATCCAGCTGGTAGCACAACTACAGATAGAAGGATTATTCCAAGTGATTCTAAAACACAGAAATTTGATTATATATCCCTAAAGAGATATACCCTAAGGACAAAAAATTAACAAGAAAAACTAACAAACAGTAAATATATTCTTAAGGAAGTGTTGGTATTATGATTATTTTATGTATATCATGTAACAGATAAATAAGTATGTTACTGATGTTAAGAACTACATGAATAAAAGAAAATACATAGATCAATCAGGTAAAGTCAAAACTTTACAACCCTGAATCTGAGTTAGAATTGTTAGTGTAAAATTATGTTGTTTTATCTTTAAATTTATACGTGTGCAAGTGCACACACAGAGGTATGTGTATCTCCTAGCTCTGCCCACTGAAAAGACCTATGTGTGATGAACATGTCTAAGACCTGGCTTATAGTCTTTAAGTATCATTTCCACTAAAAAGAACTGGGGCTTCCTTAGAGAAATGGCTGATTCCAAGCATGGGGCAGGAGTAGAGGAACGTGGAACATCTTGGCCTACCAGAAAATAACAGACTATTGGGTCTACAGGGGTCATGTCAAAAGGACTTAGAAGCCAACCTGAGTAAGTTCCCAATGGCCAAAGATTTTTGTGTATCAATATAGACAATTACTTCAGTGTTTTGAATCATATGAAATATTTTAAATCCATGATTTTATAATTTTAAAAAGAACTCATTATTCATTTTAGAACATATGAACCACTTCCATTTTTTAAAAATGGTAAATGAAGGGGGCAGGGGGATATAAAACATTAATCCTGCCTTTCCTATATGCTCTGTAACTCAGGGTAACCAAGCAGTTGATATGGAGAAGATTCTCTTTATAGGGAAGTATTTGAGATAATAAATGAAAGAAGGAATGATAGTACTAGACTATCACCAATTTAAAACCCCTAAAGAAATAATTAATCTTGGCAATGATCATCAATGACTGCTAACAACACAAAGAAAAACATCCAACATTATGACAAGAAAAGAAATTCTGAGATGTCCTAAAATAAATTACAGCAGGCCAGAGGGTGGGAAGAAGAGGCAGGGAGAGTTAATCAGTTAACAGAGACAGGAACAGAAACAAACAAAAGACTGCTAGCATTCCTTAATGTATGTTGAAACTTTGAATCAACTTCTAGGCCCCTATTTCAGTTCTTATCTAGAGAGAATAGCCAACCACCAGACGGCACCCACCGCATCCTGTTTACGCATAAACTTTCTGGGCTGTTGTCCACAATCAATCCAAAAGCAACAAACACTTCTTCCTGACCATACACCTCTCCCAGAACTAGCCCTGCTTCACCTATTCCCACACCCCTTATCTATAGCCAATATAAATTCTTTCAAAACAACTTACAGCTTTCTTCTCCAAAATCATCGTATAAAAGAACTCCATCAATCCCAGGATGGCGGGCATATTTGTCTTCCCAACTAGCCCTACTGATGGTGGTCTAAACTGTCCCAGAAACTGGTCCTTTTCCTGCCTAGCTTATGGCTCAATAAATCCTTTCTTTCAGAAAAACGTTCAACCTCAAAGGTTATCATTTAACAATTATATACCTGCAGTTGTAAACAAACACTGTACCAATCTACACTAATAAAAGAGAAAAATGGTAATTGGCGTACGACCGCTACCCTTCTGATTGGCTAATCAGCGTATCCTTATGCAAATTAACTGTCAGCCAAGATGGCGGCCGGCAGCCAGGCAGTTGGAAGCGAACATGAGGCTTCCTTGCTCCCGTGACTGCAGACTCCAACGTTCCCCGCCTTGCCGGCCTCTGAGCTGGCAGTTTGAAACATTCTAACAAATATAGCCGGCTGGGATCTCAGAGCTGAAGTTATACATTGTTTCGATTATAGAACGGCAAACAAACCAGCAGCGGAAGCCTCAGAGCTAGAGCCAGAGCTAAAGCTGGCCCAGAAGAAAAAAAAAAAAGAAAAAAAGGAGCGGTTGGGAGCTTCCCGCCAGCCTGAAAGCAGCCCTCAGCCCCTCACCCAGACTGGCCAGGCACCCCAGTGGGGACCCCCACCCTGAAGGGTGTGTGACCAGCTGCAAACAGCCCTCAGCCCCTCATCCAGGCTGGCCAGGCACCCCAGTGGGGACCCCCACCCTGATCCAGGACACCCTTCAGGGCAAACCAGCCGGCCCCCACCCGTGCACAGGCCTCTATCCTATATAGTAAAAGGGTAATATGCCTCCAGCACGGGATCAGCGGAGCCGTGAGTCTCTGCACAGATCAGCGTGACAGG